TTACATCAAGGACATATCTGGAAATTTTCGACGAAATCAAGAATATCAAGTATCCAAATGGTGTAAATAATTAAATTTTAAAAAAAATATCCGCAAGGCAGGTGTGTATATTTGGGGTAATTTAATTATTATTTCTTAATACTGAAAAATGTTTTTCTAATTTTTTTTAAAGTATGCATGTTAAAAACTAATAATTTAACAACTATTACTACTAATTACAACTATTTACAACTACTTTCTAACCCTCGGGGCTGCTTCTCATTAATCATTGCAGATTTAGAGGAAAAACGATTTATTTCCATTTCTTTCTACAAAAATTACGATTGAATAGCCATTTACATTTTGAAGATGAGTAAATTTAGGCAAATTAATAAAATTGGTACCAATCAATAAAATTGGAATTATTACTCAATGAAGATGGACTCAAGGGATAGAGCATTCTCCTCCGAATGAGGTGCACCGAGTTTGAATCTCAGTGATAGCTGGTTGATATGAATTCTACACCCGGCGTACACCGACCACTGTGTTGAAGTAAAATATCCTCAGAGGTAGACGAATCATGGGTCAGAGTAACCGTGGAAGGCTTTCGTGGTTTTCCTCTTCATGTAACTCAAATGCGTGTTAGTCAAAAAAGTTAATGCCATCAAAACGTACTGCACGAAGGCAAAATTTCTTCCAATACTTGATCCTGGAGTTCTCTTGTCTGTTGGGTTGAGTTCAAAATTACAAGGTTATGGATTTGAGCATTAGTAGTCGTAACCTCGAAATTGGGTGGACTGTTCATTGACTGTTATTAAATAAACTAATAATTTGGCCGTGATAGCTTGGTTGGTAGGGCTATGGACTCGTGTTCACAAAAATGAGAGTTCGAATTCAGCCGGCCGAATAATAACCCATGTATAAAATGGTGACTTGTACATGTTAAATCTGCCGGTGTCACAAACGCCACCAAGTTCTCATAACAATTCAATACCTCTGGGTACTGATCCAGGAGCTCCCTTGTTTTCTGGATTGGTTTTAAAATTGCAAGGCTACGTAGTTAAACATTGGTAGTCGCAAACTCCAAATTGAGTCAGTTTTTCAATGGCGATTATAAAAAAATAAAATAAAACTAATGATCAAATTGTATTCACTTGTATTTTTTCTAACTCCTTGCATATTTTCTACACACCTTCATAATTTCATGCTTCTAAGTCTTATAGATTTTGAGCAGCAAAGCAAAATGTAACGCAAAGAAAAAAAAATGAGAAAAAAGATCGGAAAAAATCATTTGAAATCACAAATAACATATACATATATTCAAAATTTATATAAAGAAAATTCAAGCATTATTTGGGGCAGGAAAATAAGTTAGGATGATTAGGCATAAATGACATGCATTAAATAGTGAAAAACAATAACCTCAAAGATACATTTTCAAACATTGACATTTCATTTCGAATTTTTTTGTCACTTAAATAACTAATTGTAGTAGCGAACGTTCATTCTCCAGACTAAAATCAATAAAAAATGAGTTAAGAAATTATATGACTTAGGAAAGATTGAGTCATTTGTCAATTATGAGCATTCAATAACATTGTCTTACGGGAAATTGATTTTGATGATGTGATAGAAGAATTCGCTCCTGAAAAAGTGCGAAAAATATTGTTACCTTAAATTTTCGATAAAAATAATGCATATAAGCTTTTATAATTAATTAAAATAAAGTAATTTTAAAAAATTATTCGAAATTNCTTACGGGAAATTGATTTTGATGATGTGATAGAAGAATTCGCTCCTGAAAAAGTGCGAAAAATATTGTTACCTTAAATTTTCGATAAAAATAATGTATATAAGCTTTTATAATTAATTAAAATAAAGTAATCTTAAAAAAATTATTCAAAATTAATTCTTTTTCTTTAAATTTACTCATAAAGGGCCCCCAAATAATGGCAGTCCCAGGGCCCTGGTAAACATAAAAACGGCTCTGCGTTAGCCAATTAAATTTAAAGAGGGGAGAATTTAAAAATCAGTTAAAATAGATTAGTTAAGTAAGCTCCCATTAAAAAAATAAATAAAGAAAAAAGAATGGCGGGAATAGAGGGGTAACTCTCCCCACAAGAAGTGCAATGACCACGATGACCAGTTAAGAAGGGTGAACGGAAAGTTAATGTTCTTTACGAAAAGAAAAGTGAAATTTTGCCAGACAACATATTTAAAAAAAATTATATGTTTAAATCGAGACAGCAAAACCCTAAGTTAAGAAAATTACTTGAAAAATTTCACATAGAATAAATTTAAACTGTTATATAAAAAAAAAGTTTACAAAAAATAAAAGATTAGATTTAAGTAAAATAGTAAATTGTTACATTACACAAAGTGTACATGTGACACTACCCGGACAGACCGGAATTTTGTTTAAAATTTTCGTTGTCGTAGAAAATTTTATTGTAATCAAATATTAAGTAAAAATCAATATATAAGAATTTTCCAAAAGGAGAATTGTGACAATGTTTATTTATCACAAAGTTCATACTCTCCTTAATTTTTTCGTCTTTTTAATTGGGTTTTCTTTGTCACATACACATAGTTTTCTTTTTATAAATCTTACAAAATTATGGTTCAAAATTATTTCAACGTATAAGTGTGGTTTAATTACTCAATTTTCTTAATTATGCTAACTGAACCTTCATTTATATCATTCTCAGTGCATAAATTTATATTTAAAACTTTCAGATCTATCATTAGATCAAAAGTTATTGAGGTGTTCGCTTTTTTTACACACTGTACATGCATTTATTTACAATCCAATATTATATATCTGTTGCATTTTAGATAATTTATACAATATGGGTTTACATTAAATTTCATTTTCTTCCTCTTATTTTCAAAACAGCCTTTTTCTAGCAACTTACTTGATCACGTTTTATTTTGAGAAAAATGAAATTATTCATCGACTAATCCATCATGTCCCATTCTATTATAATGGAGGAAGAAGTCAACAACGATACTTTATTTTTGTTCAAACTCGACTTGTATTGTTATACTGTGTTCAATCAAGAAATAGAGAACAAACAGAAAACATGAGACAACAGTTAGTACTACACATTAATCTCTCGGAAATGGTAAAAACGTTCTAATTGGATCGTGTTTCTAAGAAAAGTAGGTTCTGGAAAACAAATTTTTAAAAATGGAGTGAAATTGTATTGTAACATGTAACATGTGGTTAATCTTACAATCTTGATTCATAGTAGATTCCAGTTCTTTCAGAAAATTGTCCTTTTCTTTTTACAATAAGCTAATTACCGAAAACTTCATAAACGTTGAATAGATAGATGCTTATTTCCATACTGAAAATGCATGGAGTAAAAAAGTTTCGAAAATAAAAATAACCATTAAGTTTCTAATTTCTCATATTTTTATCTTATATTAATGTTCTTAGGAGCATCCTCTCTTGTTTAAAAGCTCTTTAAAGTAAAATTTCTTGGGATTTAATAATTTTAGCTTTAATTTCTGATTTAAATCAAAATACCATTTTATGCATGCGTTACTATTAAAGGTTGAATGTTATTAATATGCACATTACTTGGCTATTCTGCAGATTATCTAGGATAAATTGTTAAAGTGCAAAATCAAATGTTTTCCGCAACTTACTTCGGTAATGTGCACATTAACAATTTTCGTATTGTTAAATTTCAAACTTTTTTTTTCTTATTCTATCTTATAATTTGTTCATTGATTGATTTATTGACTTGATTGTATTTATTGACTTGATTCTTCAGATATTTAAAAATAAATAAACGACATTATGTTAATTTCCTTACTTGTTATAATATTTTAAACCATTTGAATCTTTGTGGTTCAGTTTGTAAATTGAGTGATGATTGATTCTATCAACAAATCTGTTCATTGTGGCAGATCGGCTTTTTTGGAGAATGAAAAATAAAACAAATATGTATATTAATTTAAAGCGTGCTGAAACGTTGTTGTTGTTCCAGCAAAGATCTTATTTTTGATGTAAAGAGTATCTAGTATTAGGACAAGGATTAATTATTTAAACGTCTGAAAATTTACATTCTTTCATAATTTTATTAATTAATTTTAAAGCTCAAAAAGATTTCTTAAAGTTAAAGAAGAATCAGCCTTAGAAGCGATTGAATTATTTTAAAAAAGGTAAGCAGTAAAATATTATTTTTAAATAACACAAATATATCAAGTCATTAAAAACATTCTTCAAGCTCTTTTTTTGCTAAAACAAATTTACTACATCACACATTAACTACGCCAAATAAGAAATCTAATTGTTATTTTAAAATTTGAGCGAGATGCAATCAATACCATAAAAATATATCTTATTTGTTTCTAGCGGTAATTAATAATATAAAATTTTGCACTGTTACATTTCCTAAAAAAAGCTCATTCAAATTAATAAATTCATTCAATAAGCTTTTTCTTAAAGTTTAAAATGCAAACCAATAATAGAAGGTTTTAGATTTTTATTTCAGAAAAAAATTAACTTGATTTTAGCTTTTGTTGAAACTAAATTGTGATTTGGGTTTACTTACGCTACTTAATTTAACATTTGCAAAGCTTAAAAAGTCCCATTCAAAGTTTTCAGAGAGTTAGAAGAAACTTTTCTGCCACCATTTATAAAAACCATTTAAGAGCTTCCGAAGTTGTGAAAATTATACGTATTTATGAACTATAAAACTAAAATAATGAAATACATTAAAAAGAAATACAAATGCTGCGCTAAAATTAATAATTATACTAGAAAATAAAATTTGAAAACATAAATACGATACAAATATTATTTATTACCGCAAGAATTAAGTCAAAAATATTTTTCTGGTAGTAATTGTGCCTCAACCAAATTTTAAAATAACAATGTTATACAAATGTTATACAATCAAAGTACTTGAAATCAAAATCAAATCTAAATCAGTAAATCAAAGTACTGTTTAAAATCGAATTAAATCATACTATAAAAGAATAATATATTTAATTATAAAAGTACTCACATCCTTATAATAATCTCTAACATCATCAATTTTTTCGTAATTATGTTTGCGGGGGTCCATGATATAAAACAGGTAGCCCGTTCGCTTCAGGGTTTCTTCGATTATTTCCATCGTTTCGGACAATCAATCCGCTGTGCTCTAAATCTTATTCCAAATGTCTTAACGATTCTTTTAACGAAGAGCAATAGATCCGTAAGGCTCTTTTCAAGGAACCGCGGGATGAGGTGTTTCATCATTGCGCATGCGCTTGCTCCTCTTTCCCTCAAGGTAACTTTCATTTTTGAGACTTTTTTGTTTTTTTTCACCTTTCTCTTACAGTTTAAGTATGGGTCATTTATATTTTCACGTGATTTGAAGTAGTAAATTAATCGTTGGTTTGAGATAGGGCTTGCTGCAATAAGGATTTATTTTTAAGTATATTTTCAGTTTATATATATAAAAAAGGCCATCATTTGATACCAGAATGAAGTAGTTTTTATTAAGGATTAGTTGTGTTATTTAAAAGCAAAATTGTTTTTCTCTTTAATTTTTTTTGTATTCACGACAAAGTGTTTTTTTCTTTTTTCGTTTTTGAGAAAACATTAAATGCTGCAGAAAATTCCACTGTGACGACTAAGCAGTTACTTTAAATAATTTGTTTTTCAAAAAAATATTTTTTGAAAAAAAAAAAGAAGTTTTAAAATGAGTTACACTCAATAATTCTGTGATTTTCGGTTTGAAAAAATGTGTTAAAAACTAAACGATATAAAAATAAGTAAAGTAAAGTGAATAAAGAAAATAAAAGAAGTAAAAGTTACTGCAAATTTTGCTTAAAAATATCAATTTAATTTTGAACAAAATTAACTTCATTTTGTGAAATACCTAATTGTACACGATTAAGATATTTTTGTAAAAAATATTTTTTTAAATAAGGTTTTTGTTAGAAGTTATAAAATAAGCCTCATAAAAGAATTTCGTGATCATTAGTCATAAAAAAATCATATTAGAAATAAATGTAGCAAAAATTTAAAAAAAACAAGCAAATTAAATAAAAAAAAACAACAACAATCATATTTGCAAATTTAAAAAAAAATCAAAATTAATTAATTTTCACTAATTAAAATTAAAAATTTTCACTAACATGCATTATTATAATCTGCATTTTCAACATTTTCACTCTTATTATACTATTGAATGTTTATAAATTTTTCCCTGTTCTACATGTTTCAAAATTGTGGGAAAAATTATGTGTAACCACGATGTGTCGCAATTTTTTTCTAAAATGATTCTGAAATTTTATAATTAAAAATTTTTCAGACTCTAGAAAAAAATATTAAGAAGACTATATAAAAATTATAAGGAAAATTTTAATAATTAGCTGTTGAAATTTTTAATTTTCTTCTTATATTTTAATAAAAAGAGCCTCAATTTTGCAAGTATTTCCTCGTGTATAGTATTTATAAATGCAGCTTACGTAATAAGAACCTTGATTAACTATTGAATAGTAATAATTTAGAGTTCTTATCGGCACTATAACCCAGGGTAGACCAGGGTTGTCCACAAATTGTTTTCCATTGGAATCTATTAGACGCATATTGTTTCAAATTAGCAACCTTTGTCGTTCTCAGTGGAGGTTTCCCTGTTTTCACCTGATCTAAATAAGAGTTCAAGATACCTTTATTCCGTTCAATTTGTTTACTTTGACAGTTTCTTGATATTTATATCGATTGTAAATGTTATGATTTGCACAGTAAAAACTGCGGAGTAATACCTATCCAAATTTGGTCTTAAAAAACTTCCAAAAATGTGTTAATGAATACTTTACGTCAAGTTAATAACGAATTGATAATTCATGCACACTTCAAAGGGTGTAGTTAAATTTCAACATCAATAATTGAGAATGCTTATCCCAAACTCAGATGATTTTAGTGATATGTTTTCGCCAGCTAGGCGTGTGTTTAGAAACCGTCAGACGACAGCGATAGTTGTTTAGAATCCAACAGGAGAAAGTGAAAGTTTCTTGTCCAATCACACGATGCTGATAATTGCACAATAACAGAAGTCAATTGTAACAAAAGGCATGCATGTTTTTATTTGTGTAATAAAGGTAATTATGTTCTCATAAGAAGAACCCAATTCAGAAGACAAGGGAGCTCCTGGATCAAGTATTGGGACAGACTAGCTGTCTAGGATTTTTGATGAAACTAAACAGTATTTTTGTTACATGGAGAGGAAAATCAAGAAAACCTTCCATGGTTAGCCCGCAGGCAAGGGGATTTTAGCCCACGATTTGTCTACCACTGAGGATACTTTACGTCAGTACTGAGGTAGGTGTGAGCATAGCCACCGAGAGTCAAGGCCTCTCAGTAACTTTGTGACGTCATCCTTGGAAGTGCTAGGAAGCACCGCAATCAGATTTGTGTGAAGAGAAATTTATTATAAATAATTCACATCTTTTATGAGCGAGGTAAAATATTTTTGAGCTAGCTAATTTGCTGGCACGATAATATTTTTTAATTTGTAGTTTTTATGAGAATAACTTTATCTGATGTTATGAAACAATATTATATGCATCTTATGATACCGAAGGATTTTATAAGAAAAGTTTTCCTTTTACTTTTAACTCATAATTCATCGAAACTATTTTTAGTATCAAGAGAACGTGCTTCATTCAAATGTATCATTTCTTATTTTCTTATATCTAATGAAATATTGGATTTAGTCATATTTCAGAAAATAAGAAATGATAAATTTGAATGTTAGAACGATTACGGGACTAAGAAAAATACGTCACACTATTTTAAAAAAGAGAAAAAAAATTATTGGCACATTCATAAAATTGATATTTTAAAATAAACTCCAAAGAATTCCTTCAGAACTATACGAAAAACAATTAAATCCCAAGTGGAAATAATGTAAACATCAGCACAACAATTATTGATAAATAAGCGAAGCCTATAATATGAAAATGATACAAAATAATTTAATTACGCATTTTATCCTTAAGATTGTAAAACTTTAGAAGAGTATTTATTATTTAAAAAAATTTGCTTTTTTTATTTTTTAAACCCCAACACATATGAAATGTTAATTTGCATCAAAACTTAATTTTTTAAGAAAAAATTCTTACTAAAATGAAAACAAAAAGTATACTCATTTGAAATCGCAAATAAATTCTTAAGGGAGGAAGAAGCAAAAACGCAATCGATATTTGCCCAAATTGCATTAAAAAAGAGCTGAACGTATAAAACATGTTATTTACATATTATTTACATATTATATACATATTTACATATTATATTATTATATTATATTAATTATACATATTATATTACATATTTACATACATATTATATACATACATATTATTTATATATACAGTGTGCAAAAAAAAGAAAAAGAAAAACGGACTACCGTGAATGACTTTTGATCTAATGATCGGATCTGTATGTTCTAGGGCTCGATCTTAATGGCTCGAGGGGTTGATTTCAAATATGCTAATTAATATGTTTCAGACGATATTTAAAGTTACGAAATCAGACAAAAAACGCACTTTTCTGCAAAAACATACCTTTTTTTCTACGAATTCGGTTTACTGAACCTCAAATATAGGGGGTATCCCCACTTTGGGAAATATGGCCCCAATAGTTTGGTCAGAAGAGCAATCCAAAGTTTGGATCCCTTAATGTTAATTTTACTTTTTGCGTATTTCGCTATATCTCCAGAAATTTTTAAGCGAATAGAAAATACTTTACACACAATCATAAAATTTGTTTATCCAAAGAAAATTCCATGCAAAAAATAACTTTTAGTAAATATTTATTATTTGGGGGATGGCAGTTTACTAAATATTTATTATCCCCGATATTTTTGGGGGTGGTCAGAAATCCAAATCTGGTGAAAGAAAGATAAGTTTATTTAGAGAAAGTACGTTTGCGTGTCGCTTCGTACGTTTCTTACCTTGAAATTTACTCAGCACTTATAAATTAGCATATTTGAGATCAATCCCAAGAGCCATTAAGCTTGAGTTCTAGAACGCGAAAATCCGATCATTAAATCAAAAGTTATTCAGGGTGGTCCATTTTTTTGGCACACTATACATTAAAGTCTCTTTGATTTCAGGTTGAAATCGGAAGGTGTTTCTAATAAACGTCTTTCATCGCCTCTGTGTCTCATTTCGCAACCAAACAGGTTTAAGTGTTTTATTCAACTGCCTCCCTCAACTCTAATTTGTTATATTCAAGTTTTTTCTCTCAACATTACGGTTCCTGCAGTAAATCTGTGCATTCATTTGCTTGTATATCAATCATAACATTTTCTATGGTTCCCTATATGCAAAATTAAAAAGAAAAAGATTTAAAAAAAATATTGAATGCAGTTATAAAAACATACTGCAAAAATTTTAATTTTTAAGCAGCTTAATTTTATTTTTAGCTTATTGTGAAAAAAATTACCTTAGCGCTTTATCCACAGCAGAAAGAAAATCCCAAGGGATTCTAATAACATGTAATTAAGAAAGCATGCGCGCAAAAAAGCTTTGTTTTTACTGTAAAAACCACTGGCCTTTTTCCAAAAAAAAAAGAAAAAAAAAGCTGAAAACTTTATAAATAATACAGATAGAGAAATGAATTTTTTTAATGTGTTTGGAATTAGTTGAAATTTTAATGTAAGTAATAAATTATTGTTCAATACTTTTGCCTTTATTTGACACCTTAAAATTAAATTGCAAAATATAATAATCAATTTTAATGCCATAAAAAGTCCTTTACGATTTCATCATAAGATATACTAATTTTGGATTTGTATCAACCAGCCAAGTTGGGATTTGAACCGGAGTCAACTGAGGCAACTGATCGATACCCTGGATCACCGCGACTTTCGTGTGTCTAGTTGGACAAAATAGATGAAACATTGTTTTAATATGCACATTTTTTAAAAATAATTAGAGCATTTTAAAATAGTATTAATGTAGCAGCTTGCAAAATGTAATACTACGCTTAAGGAAACTATGCTATAATTAATTAAACCATTTATGGTATCGATTTCCGTAAGTGATTACTGTCTTGAAATTGGTTCGATATGTTTTTAAGCCTTTTTAATGCATTACTTTAATTTGCTGAAATTCATGTCAAAAAAAGGAAAACAATATGCAAAAAATAAAGAATATTCAGCTGTAAATGACGAAAATAGTTGAAAGATTAAAACTAGAATTTTAATTTTGATAAATTAAAAAGTATTCGAAAATAAAAGTATTGAATAAAA